CGCAGATACAATTGCTTCAAAACTACTGAGATGCCACAGGCATTCGTGGCTTTGTCAAACAGCTGTGCTGTTGGCCGCTGGAGGGCCTGTGCAGACGCGGTCAGGGGCAGCGTCGAGCGCGTGGTGTTGATCGACCCAAAGGCCTTTACGCGCATGGGATTGGTCATGCGTGTGTGTTGCCTTGGTAGAATCTGCACGTGCAACCATCATGCATCCTCAGAAGAAGTGTATTTTGCTGATATCATCCACAACCTAGACCGTTGGACTAAACTGGTGCATCGTACCAGTGCATTTGCTTCCTTTCCACCACTGTGTCTAGCCCAGGCTGTCGGAAGGATGGCTGAAGCCTAATAAAAAATACAGGAATTATGTTAATGGAGAGAGAAAGAGAGAAAGGCTTTATTCTGAAGGTGGCTTCATTCACTGAAAACAAGGGGTAAATTAACAAATTTCTCAAAAGTCTGCAGGTTTACATGAAATTCGCATCTATTATGGCAGGAGGTCTAATCTCAGCTCGTGGATTACCGTTTCTTTAGATGTGCTAGGAATGTGAGTACAGAATGCTGATATGCCGATGTACGGCAGGACATATGTCGGAAGTTTCGGCATATACTGTGGGAAGTCGTCGCAGGCATTAACGCAGAGTGGGGTGGGTAAGCAAACTTGTGAAGAATGTGATCAGCGAATTGCTTGACCGCAGTAAATTGTCGCTCTATTATGATGTCTGCTAAAAAAATCCATAAGAAACACCAGCAACTGGAGAGAGCGTTTAGAGGATAGTTTAAGAAATTAACAAGTCTTTTTTAAGCGAGGCTGGAGAAATAATCGTAGAGCGGTAGAGGATGTGGGGGGAGAATGCAGGCATCTATAAGCCGCCAGATTAGTGCTTGCTGTGTGTGATGTGAACGTAACCGATGGATATAATATAGATATTTACGAATTTTAATGAAGACGGTTTCAATATGAAGAGTAAATGAAAGATTAGATGTAAAAGTAACACGAAGGTATCGGAAAGAAGGTAGCCCATAGGGCAGGATCTTTAAGGATTGAAGACAAGAAGAGGATCCCGATCAGAAGCGCACTGGACTGACTTCCGATTATTTAGTAGAAGACCATTGGCTAATGACTATACTGAGACGCGGTCCACACCACCTGCAACAAGGCTATTTTTAAAAGAAGTATGTCTAAGATATATGCCTTTTTTCCTTGATTTTCGATGCCCCTATAAATTTGAATATATTTTATAGAAAAGTTGTACCCAGATATTTTTCAGCAAAAAAAAAACATCTAAAAATGTTACATCTGATGAAAGGCTATCTTTTGGTTCTAAATTGTTTTACTTTATTGGATCATATACATCAGGTTATTCATGTTGCCTGTAAAGTATACGACACGATCTATATCCATCTAATATTGTTTGAGCACTATGTGACTTGTATTGCATACTCATAGAAAGCACGTGTTCTTCGGTTGTTGGGAGAGTTCTCGAAGATAGGTTTGTTACATTACTTGAGTAATTCTGGCTTGTGAAAGGTCTTTTGTTAATGGCCATCCATTTTTGGTCTAAAACGTCTTTCTTCTTCTATCCTTCATTGTCGGAAAAACGAGTAATTTTCTCGTTCAGAGATTCAAAAAAGTTTGATGGAAGTTTTTTGCCGCATAAATCCATGCTCATACGATGTGACTCTGTGTGACTTCTTCCCCATAGCGTAGAACAATGTTTTGTTTGTCGCAGGCAGAATGAGTATAGTATGTAGCCTGCGTCCTCGGAGCACTCGGCGCATATTGGTCTCTATAAACAATAAGCCTGAAAGGTTGCAAACAAACTGGTAAACTGCCACATTTCCTTCTCACCGTGGTCTCCATGGCGCTCCCACT